CTATACGTGAATACAGTTTGAGGGCTACAATCAGGTGGATTTTGATTGGCTGTCAATGTTTCCATTATTCATCAGCTAGGAAAAAAATTCATTTTGAAATTCGTTTCAATGATATTAGTGTTCTGCCGCTAATGCTATATCTGCGGGGGTGGGTTCCGCAGTGATAAGTTTCAAGAGCATGCTAGCATACAATAAAAAGCTAGCATAGCATATGTTTTTAGAGGTTTTGATTCAGGAGACTGGAATCGTACACAACAACGGTCTCTACCAGCAGGGGTTATTTGGGCCATGGCATGCTAACCTCCCAAACCTTGATGTCTTGGTTTGACATGTGCATGACAAGCTACTTGTTCACACATTTGCAATGCATGCTGGGAAACAATGCCTGTAAATATGGTTTATGTGGTTTACTCTCTCTGGCACCCTAATAACACAAAGCATGAAATGCTTCAGTTCAAACATAGCCTAATCATTGTCTCTGTGTGAAATACTTCTGCATTAGGGCTGTGAAACACTTAATTGCGATTAATCGCATCCAAAATAAAAGTTTGTGTTTACATAATATATGCGTGTGTAGTGTGTATAATTATTTTGTATATATAAATACACACATATGCATGTATATATTTAAGAAAAATGTGTTAATATATCAAATATTTATTAGGGCTGTCAAACGATTAATCGTGATTAATCGCATCCAAAATAAAAGTTTGTGTTTACATAATATATGTGGGTGCACTGTGTATAATTATTTTATATACAGAAATGCACACACATGCTTGTATATATTTAAGAAATATTTTCATGTATATACTGTATATAGATTTATATTATACATAAATATAAATATTTTATAGATAAATAATATATTTTCCCTTAAATATGCATGCATGTGTGTGTATTTCTATGTATACAAAATGATTATACATAGTGGACCCACATATATTATGTAAACACAAACTTTTATTTTGGATGCGATTAATCGCGATTAATCGTTTGACAGCCCTAATATTTATATTTATGTATAATATTAATTTTGTAATGTATATATATATATATATATATACATGCAAATATTCTTAAACATATACATGCATGTGGACATATATACAAAATAATTATACACACTACGCACACATATATTATGTAAACACAAACTTTTATTTTGTATGCGATTAATCATGATTAATCGCTTCACAGCCCTATTCTGCATACATTGACTTTTCCAGTATTTCAAAAAAACAAAAAGCAAAAAAAACACTTCTTAACCTATATTTTTCTTTATACTGTTTCACAAGGTCTGGTTGGCCCACTTCCCCAATTCACAGCCTCCACAAGAGAGAACATCTGCTCTCTTATAGGCAACATAACTATAAGGTCATCAAGATAAGGAGCTTCACGCCATGATCATTTTAATCAAACTGTCCGTTAACTGCCATAAACTCGTCATTACTCTAACCTTTTCCCATCTCTGTCAACACTGCAGATTGTATCTAATTTTTTTAATATTGTCTATTCTTTCTTAGGTCACACCCATGAACAAACCACAGTTAAAGTTACCAGAACATGTACTCCTCCCTCTCAGCCCCAATGCCAGGAAAAGAGCCTTTTCTACTCAGTGTGTTAAATCCTGTTTTAATTACCGCATAGTCAGAGCTTCATTAATAAAATTCCTTGAGAAAACGTTATTTGTAGAAAATGTGGATTTTTTTACATTTTTATCCTTTGGTAATGAACCACACATTCTGCTTATGTTTGATTTCATATATATTTAACTCGATTATGGAAATCAATAGAACAGATCTATACCTTTGTTTAATAAATTGATGACCTAAATTAAAGAAAAATAAATTATTTATCAAATATTCATACTGTTTTAGTCCTACTTTCTTATAACAAAGTGAATTTTACAGTGAATTACTGTGTTTCAAAACCTAGGTTTCATTATAATAATGCATAATTACGTTTTTTAGTGTGAGATCCAAATTTATTGAGTATTAGGCTCAGCGTGTGAGTTATGAGTTAACGTGGTCAGCAATTACTGTAGGACTACAGCCGCAGGGTCACTCTAGGAGACAAACATCTAACATTACATCTGTCCAGAGCATGATCTCAGCCCTTGATGACTTGCCCATTCACAACAATCACTTCCTAATAATTAACGTTTATTAGTAAAATGAATGAACAGCAATGCATTCAGATGTTAAGCTTGTTAAGATGTTAAGAACATGCAGTAAATTTTATTTGCGGCTGTGATGTTGTGCTTTAAAAAGAAAGGCTTGAATGAGTAGTTCACGCAAAAAAAAAAAAAAAAAAAAAAACACACTCACTCTCATGTTAAGTGATTTTAAGTTCAAAGACTAGAGTCAACATCAGTGATTCATTTACAACAACCAATTCTGAAATCCTGTTTACTTAGGAACCCTCCAAACAAAACTATAGGAGACTAAAGAACACTGTGACGTAAGCACACAAGTATTTTAATACACTTATGACTTCACTTTCAATCAAAATAAGTGTGCCAAGGCAAGGGAAATTGTGGCTCAAACTTGATTAGGAGAGCATAACTCATAACATTAGTGAGTGTTGGCAGCCATGCCACAGAAATCACACCTCTGCTGCTTCTTGTGTTTTCACCTGGTCCTGGATTTATTTAAATGATGAGGCAGTGGACAAACTATCCTGCGTTCAGTGTCTTAAACAATGATCCATGTACTTCTGTATCCCCCAATCCCGTCTCACACCAATAAACGGTAAACCCCGAACAGACACAAACATAGGGTGAACTGATATCTGAAATATCCAAAAGAACGATTCACTCACAGTTCGAACATTTTTATCACTTGCAAGCATGTTTTTAATCTAGACAAGAACATTAATATTTTACAGGAAAGCATAACTAAAAAGATGTATCTTCACTTTATGAATTTGCATCACTTTTTAAACATTTTACTAAGTTCCAAGACTTTTCCTGGTCTGAACAACACTATTTAAAAATGTATATCATAAACATTTACATTTAACATTAGTTAACGACATTAGTCAAATGAACGACATTAGTCAAATGAACATTAGTTAACGACATTAGTCACATGAACAAACAATACACATTTTCTAAGCATTTAAGCTACGGGTAGGTTTACATGACGACGATGCACTAAAAACAGAACATTTTTAGCGTACAGACGACAATGTTGTCAAACGATCGCAGTTCACACGGATCCACAAAAACACAGTAGAACCTTAGTGCAGTACACAAGATCCAAGGGGCGGAGTCGGATCCAGATCTGAGGGATGGAGATGGGGAGGTTTAGGGGTGGGTTTAGGGATCAGGGGATGGAGCTGGGTAGGTTTGGGGGTGGGTTTAGGGTTTGGGGGGTGGAGCTTGTAGGTTTAGGGGTGGGTTTAGAGATCAGGGGGTGGAGCTGGGTGGGTTTAGGGATCAGGGGGTGGAGCTGGTAGGTTTAGGGGTGGATTTAGAGATCAGGGGGTGGAGCTGGGTGAGTTTAGGAGTGGGTTTAGGGATCAGGGGGTGGAGCTGGGTAGGTTTAGGGGTGGGTTTAGGGATCAGGGGGTGGAGCTGGTAGGTTTAGGGGTGGGTTTAGGGATCAGGGGGTGGAGCTGGGTAGGTTTAGGGGTGGGTTTAGGGATCAGGGGGTGGAGCTGGGTAGGTTTAGGAGTGGGTTTAGGGATCAGGGGGTGGAGCTGGGTAGGTTTAGGGGTGGGTTAAGAGATCAGGGGGTGGAGCTGGGTGGGTTTAGGGATCAGGGGGTGGAGCTGGGTAGGTTTAGGGGTGGGTTTAGGGATCAGGGGGTGGAGCTGGGTAGGTTTAGGTATATGTAAGGTGGGATCTGGATCCAACTCCTCCCCGTGGATTTCATGTTCTGCAGTGAGGACCATCTCCAAAAACAACTAAAATCGTTGCATTATACATGCCAAGCAACTAGTTGGCGAAGTCACTCTGTAAAGAAACACTTTGCGGTTTGCGCTTATAGACTGCACTCATAATGTACATGCACAAGATGTCATAATTTTCACAAATACAAGTATTTGTAGTTTACATGAAGATGGTAAAAGTAATGGTGTGGTTTTTAAAAGCTATCAATTAGAATCACATTTTTGAAATACATAACTTGGACACAGAGTCACCTCTGATAACAAGACACTCTAAATTCGATTGTCAACATGAATTTTCTGAAAAGATGCTTTAAAACAATATGTAGCCTACTGTGAAAAGCGCTATACAACAAATAAATGTGAACTGAATCCCATTTTCAAAAGTTTGTGTTTTCAGGCCCCCCAAAACGCTGTTGTCATGTAAATGAACGTCCAAAGAGCATACAAGTTTTCAGTTTTTAGTTGCGTGTAAGCTACTCCTAAATTCAAGTTAATTTCATAATTCACTAAAGCATTATTAAAAACAAAAGCTGTATATATTAACCTTATTTAATGGAAACCAGCTAACATGAACAATGAACAGTAGGCTAAATAAAACCTTTACTAATAGGATCTTGCTGTATTGTATTAGTGTTAATACCTAATATTTCAAGGTTTTTCAGTGACAGAAGGAAATTCCAGAACTCCATCATCATGAGACACATATCATTATGTTCCCTTTTAATAAAGGAGTTAAACACTCGCCTTGTCAAGAAGACACTGATTTTTGCTTAACCGATGAAATCCCACATCCGTGATACTTTAACCTTGCGGCCATTATTTCATTTCAGTTATACTGCAACACTGAAATACTGCCTACCTCGGCACACTACAGTAATAACAGTGAACACAGCGCCTGTGTGTGTCAGAAAGTGTGTTTATTTCTGGAAGCCCCGTCTCTCCGCAACATGGCCGACACTATGGCTACAGCTTTACATTGTTATTGTTGCAGCCACGATATAAACTGAGAGCTCGTACAGTAGCAGAACAAACACGTGCAACAGAAAAAAAAGTTAAATTCATTAAAGTAAACACTTAAATAGAGATCGCGGCTTCTTACTCACCATTTGATGATGGTGACCGTAAGGTATATTTGTCTCTTGAAAGAAGGCACTAAGGGCTGTCTGTGAGTGAGAGATCATAACACAACATTACTTCACATGCTCTATAGTAGTAATGTTTAAACATATATCACGCTATGTCCTACTGGGGAACTGATGGGGTTTCTCGTATTTTTAGCGAGCTGAAACGAAAGCTCAACATTGATACACTCTGCTGTAGTATTGTAGCCTAATCTGTCAGTGGTCATCTTCATTGCATAATAGCATGGGAAGCTAGTACTGTGTCATGGGGAAGGATTAGTATTTAATCTGGAGTAAACTCTAATTGGATAGTAGTCTATCTCTGTAGAGTTTTTCGCAATTGTTATAGCCTTTTAGGCTATTTAAGTGCATTTTTATCTAAAAAATAAAACACATTCATAGATTTGAATTGCCCAAGGATGCAAATAAAACTGGTTTGGGTCATTGCTGTTAGTCATGACTAGAAATGGCAACTAGACGCGCGACAATGTATACAGTGCATCACATAAACAATGCACTGGTGTGTATGCATGCATAGTGTGATCTCCGCCGCGCTCACCTCAAACTGCCAATGTGCCGCTTGCAAAAGCTGTTTCGCCTGGTCTGCGGCACATCCAGCTGTCAGGACGAACTGGTTTATCATAACTTGATGCTTGAGTTCATCCATATTCGCTGGTGTTTATTTCCGAGCCACGAACAACAGTGCTTTACCCGGGACAGGATTTTTGAGATTTAGTCTCTCCGCTTTTCTCTTTCAGTCGTCCACCATTACAGCCGGTTGAGCAAACACAAATATTTACTGTAGGAGCGCTGGCGTAACGAGCGCCTTGATGATTGACAGCGTGAAGCAGCCAATCAGAGAGGGGCGGAGGTCATGGGAATTGTATGCGTAGGCCCCACGTTTGTTGTGTTTCTGATGACACTGCATTCGTTTGACGTGTATGTTGAAGCGCTCGAGATAAATGTTTACGAGTTTGATTATACAAAGCTCAATCATTAATTGTTAAACAGAGTGGGGAAATGCATATATGAACTACACGACCAGGATAACTTTGCGTGTTCAAGTTGCTCTTTAAACACAAAAACTCCATATCCCGGCATGCAATGCTTTGTTTGTTAAGTTCTAGAAGGCAGAATTTATGAATGACGCTCCCGTCCGAGCTATGCCACTACTTTCCCAAATATGGTAAACCTTCCAACACCAATTAAATCTCTTGCATCTTAATATAAGTCCATCTGATGTACTTTAGCACAGTACTGTTTATAGTAAGCTGTTATATGACGTAGCTTTTACTTTTAATAACAATGCGTGACCGCTTGACAAAATTATATGCTTTGACTGAAAAAAAAAATGAAAAAAAACCCCGCATCTTTAACACAAATACATAATAAACTAATACATAATCAATCTCGCTCCATCCCTAAAATAAGTTTAGGTGTTATAAAATTTTAGACAAAAGGTGAAATTACCATTTGCAGCTGGCATTTGAAATTAAAACCTATCACGTGAATCAAAAACATAACTCAGCGTAATGTGTATGTCCTTAACAGTAAATTAAAAGGGCATTAGTGTCGAATTAATGTTTCTTTTGTGGCGTGCATCGACCATGGCTGAGATTACGATGGACGGTAGACAGGTACAACATATCCCAATATCCTTTGCTCTCAGGAAAATCCCATCTCGCGAGAATTTGGGATCTTCAAAACACATTTTTTTTCCTTGAGTCTTGTTTTTGTTTTTATTTTGTTCACCGTCGAAACTGACGTCGATAATTTCACGTCTACTAGTGAGTTAACGGATTTTACATAAGTCAGTCTGGCTTATCAGAAGAGCTAGAACGTAAATACGGAAGTTGACATCTTTTGTTCGCAGCTCTTTTTATCGCCAGAGATGGGAATGTTTCCATAGCGGAGGAAGCAAACGGGAAGCTAACTGTCCACATAAACTTTATTTTAAATACATATATCAGTCTTCAACAGTCATTTACACTTAAACATGGGTTCAATACTGAGTCGAAGGATTGCTGGCGTTGAAGACATCGATATTCAAGCCAATTCAGCGTACAGATATCCCCCCAAATCAGGTAAGTGTTAACCATAAATGTTAACAGACATTAGCTGCATTACTAAGTGTATGGTTTGTTTCTTATTATTCGTGTTTGTTACATTTTGTTCTTTTACATCTCCTAAATCTGCTATTTACTGTATGTCTCATGTTTTCTGCTTTTGACATCTTCGTTGGCAGTGCTATTTATAATATAATGTGTGTAGCGAAAATATATAATTTAATGTCAACTCTTTCTAGTGGCCACATCCATCCTAGATAATGATCTCTTTAATGTCTTTATTGCAGGAAATTATTTTACCAGTCATTTTTTCATGGGTGGAGAAAAGTTTGACACACCCCATCCAGAGGGATATCTTTTTGGGGAAAATATGGATTTGAATTTCCTTGGCAACAGACCTGTGCAGGTGACCAAATGAAACCTCCGCCTCAAAACTTTCAGGAGTCGACACTTTGTCATCCTCACACATAGTTTTCTGTCCTTTTTTCCAGTTTCCCTATGTGACACCAGCACCGCATGAGCCTGTCAAGACGCTGAGGAGTTTGGTGAACATCAGGAAGGATTCATTACGACTTGTCAGGTTTATTGTGAATATAGTCATGGCTTGAAGGGGTTGCTCAATGTAGACTATTTGCTGAAATAAGAGAGCTGTGACAAACTTTTGCTTTTTATTTTATTTTGCAGGTATAAGGATGATTCGGACAGCACGCCAGAGGACACAGGCGATCCAAAGGTCCTTTACAGTGTTGAATTCTGCTTTGATACTGATGCCAGAGTGGCTATTACATTATACTGTCAAGCCTTTGAGGAGTTTGCCAATGGGATGGCAATGTAAGTTTCCACTGGGTAGTATATTGTGTAAAGTTTCTGCAGAATGATGCTAAATCAGCAAGTCTGTTGTGCTCACTTTTGTAGCTAAGTGAATTTCTTGCAGGGAAAAAAAAATAGATGATATGTAGAAACTTGAGTGTCTTGTGATTGATAGCCTCAGTTGCTTTAAAGTCCCATTTAAGCCATTTGATCCCAAAGAAACATAACCCAGTGGCATCTAGACAACAGCTTTCTTGAAAACAGTGGCACTTGGTCTTAATTCAATAGCTTTTGACCAATCTTTTTCTCCTTGGTCTAAATACAAAATAGTAATCCTTACGCAGTTAACACCTTTGGCCAAAAATGACCAGTCTTTTAAAAATTGCTTGCAAGTTGCTCATTATGCTATATTATCATCAAATATTGCATTCAATCGTTTTGTCAACTTATTTTCTTTCAATAAGAACAGGTTTTTTATTTATTTTTGAAATGGATCGATTGACGGCTTCATTGATTTGAGCATCATTGATCTGAGGATAAAGTTCATCCCCGTGAAAAAGAAAGCATGAACACTCAAACTGTTTGTTTGTTTATTTACATGAACGTGTGTGCGTGTGTGTATTTGTGCGCGCATGCGGTAGTGCGGGTGTGCATACATTCTCCACACATACACCGGTCCAAGGTCTTTATTTTTGCAAACACACATGTGTATATGTGAACACTGATGAACATGCTCCTAAACACTAAATGTTTCTGTTACTTTCGATATCCTCATTCAAATTCACTACAATTTTCTTTTTAAAGATACAGCCCCAAGAGCCCTTCAATGGTGTCTGAGACGGTCCATTACAAAAGAGGGATTAATCAGCAATTTTGTCTGCCATCCTTCAAGATTGATTTCACCAAATGGAAGCCTGAAGAGGTGATTGTTTTGATCTCATCAAGGCCTTTCTGCTGTATTGATTTTAAAAGAACTGAACAGTTTGGTGTGTCATGAATTTTTAGAATTAAACATTCATATTTATCTGTAGCTGAACTTTGATCTGGACAAAGGCGTTTTCCCTTTGGTGATCCAAGCAATAGTGGATGATGGAGATGGTTCGTGAAAAGTGTTGATCATAAAATAAAATCAGTTATAATTATGTAATATCATTACTCACTGTTGTCTCTCATTTTATTTTCTGTTACAGATGTTACCGGGCATGCACATGTTCTTTTGGCAGCTTTTGAAAGGGTGTGTATTTGTATTTGTTTTCTGCTCAAGAATGTCAGCTGTCTTGTTTTATAATATTGAGTAAGTCATTAACCTGGCAGACTTTTATGGACACTGTTTGAGATTCGTGAATCTCAACCCTGGACTCATGGAATTTTAAAAATGGAAAAAAATAATGTAAAATCTTGAAAATCATAGTCAAGAGTTGATTAATCAAAAGGAGTTGTGGAACCCTGGAAAATACTGAAGCCAATGTAGAGAATAAAAGTAGACCGAATCAACATCGATATATTGCATAAACAAAAGTTCCTATAGTGTAAAATCATACAGAGTTTCAGACTTTTTTTTACATGCCATAATCAGATTAAAATATGAAAAGATGTTTAAAAGTAGTGCATTAATCTGTCTTCACAGATTTAAGAAATAGCCTATACACTTTTAAGAGCTATTAACTTCATTCGAATAGATTTGATTCAACTTTGCTTAATCTTAATCACGTTGCTGATGTAAATATGATGTAAAATGTTTTCTAAGGTAATAAAACATTATTTTTTCTCCCAAACAGTACTAATATCATTAATGGAAATATGCACATATTTCAATCTCCAAATAATATAAAAGGTTGAATGTGATCAACTTTTTTATTATACTAACACTATGTATTCCCTCATTTACAGCATGTTGATGGCAGTTTCTCAGTGAAACCTTTGAAACAGAAGCAAATCGTAAGTAATTTGGCAGCTCATATTTCTAATTATTAAATGTAAGGGTGTGATATTTGTGCCTTGTAGTAGCAACAGAACAATTTCATTTTCCAATATGCCTGTATGATTGTGTTTTTTAATTGGATCCCACAGTAAGCAGACAGATTGAAAGCTTTGATTCATTTACTCATGCATTCTTATCCATGCCATAGGTGGGCAAGCATTAATCAGGCCATGTCACGTTGTGACTTCATGAAAAAGATAATGATCATTTTGATCTGTGATGTGATGTTTACCCAGCCAGTGATCCGCATGCTCATCTTTTAGGTGGACCGTGTGAGCTATCTGCTGCAGGAGATTTACGGCATTGAAAACCGCAACAATCTGGAGACGAAGGTGAATCATGTCACTACGGCAGAGAATTTAGACTGGTTCCTGGCAATACAATATCCATCCTGCCCTTTCCTGTGTCTGATTTCATGTAGTATTTTACTATGTTTTCTTTGTCTCCTCTCTTCAGTCAACAGAGGATGAGAACAGCGACAACAGCAGCGAGTGTGTGGTTTGTTTATCAGACCTGCGTGACACACTGATTCTCCCTTGCAGGCACCTGTGTCTGTGCAATGCCTGTGCTGACACACTGCGTTACCAGGCCAACAACTGCCCTATCTGCAGACTGCGTAAGTGCTCATTAATCAATGCCTGAGCTTCCTTTATTGTTCCCGCATTATTATTCAGATTTGTTACACTAAATGAGTCGAACCTTTAAAGTGGGTATGGCCATAAAGATAAAAGGCTGAGTGATTCTTTTTTTTAAATCTGATATGGACTGATTTACCATTGTGCCTTTATTCCCCCTTTCATTGTTCTTTTTAGAGATGAATAGTCAGTCCCTAGTGCATAATTGATCTTGCATGCAGTGCAGATAATGTGACTGTTGAAGAACAGTGCCATCTGCTGGGGTTTCCATGTAATAATGATTATTAGGTCAAGTTGTAGAGTGAATTTATGAGTATTTTTCTAAGAAAAAGGGACAAAAATAACTATATAATTTAAGCAGAAACATGCTAATAAGAAACTACTTGGCCAAGCTTTTGTGTACTTGTGTAAAGAATGCTGCTGCTCTATAGATCTTCTCTACTGAGAGAATGTGCACTGACTTTGCTTTAACAGTAAGACCAGCTGTGCAAATATTTACCCCCTTTTTGTAGCCAAATGAATCTGGTAACACTTAAGCATGTCTATGTGAAGATGCAGCACCTGTGTTTGTTTATGCGCACTGCATTTGTGTCCTTTTTTCCCCCCACATGACCTTCCTTTCTGCTGTCACTGCCCCAGCATTCAGAGCCCTGCTCCAGATCCGAGCCGTGAGGAAGAAAACAGCCGCCTCTCTTTCCCCGGTTTCCTTTAGCCCAGTGCTGTCCCAAAGCTCTGACCATACTGAGCATTCGGTAAAATTCACAATCATATTTCATCCTGTACTCAAATTATTAATACTTGATGGATCCACTTTAACAGAAGAATTGAATTTGCTTCGCATTTGACTCTAGTTTAGGTGTTTTCAGTATATTGGACAAATTTGGTTTCCATTTCCTTTGCATATGGCGACACTTAAACCACCATTCAAATGTTTGATTGTTAATTTTTTTTTTAAAAGAAGTCTCTAATGCTCACCAAGTCTGCATTTATTTGATCAGAAATACAGGAAAAGCAACTTATTTTAGATAATTGTTTTCTGTTTTAATATATTTTTCAAATGTAACTTATTACTGATGGCAATGCTAAATTTTCAGCGTAATCACTCTAGTCTCACATCAAATCATTCTAATATGCTGATTTGGTGCTCAAAAAAATACTTATCAATGTTGAAAACATTTGTGTTGCTTAATAGAAAGTACAACAGCATTCATTTGAAATAAAAAGGTCTTTACTGTCACTATTGATCAACTTAATAATGCACAATTTATATAATAAAACTGTAATAATCATAAAAAAACTTACTGACCCCAAGCTGGTAGGTGAATGGTGTATGTTGCCAGACAAACTTCACTTTAAAAAAATCAAATAAAAGCACTAAATCCTTTAAATCATGTATGGAAATACCATAAGTCTGAAGTTTACTTTCTTATTGAGTCTCAGAATGCCGACAACATCCCTCCCGGGTACGAGCCCATCTCCCTGCTTGAAGCCCTAAACGGGGTGCAACCCATGTCCCCTTCAATCCCATCAGCACCTCTCTACGAGGAGATCCAATTTTCGGGGGAGATGGGAGATCCCCTCAACCTGACTGGGCGACAGCAAAACGCAGATCCCGCATCAATGAAGGGCAAAGGTAGCAAGTCACCAGACGGGTAAGTAACTATTGTGAAAATGCTCAAATAATGTTTTTTTGTTTTCTTCTAGTGATGCTTTATGTGTGATGTTTCCAGGTCTACACGTTCTCCCTCATCCCCCATACAGGAGGAGGAAGATGAGGAGAGAATGTCAGAACTCTCTGATACCCAACCTCCTTCTGTTCTGCCTTGCAGTCTCAGTCCCACTGAGGTCAGACACTATCACTTACTTACCTGCATTTGTTAAATGATACCCTCTGACAAGCCAGTAAATGGTACACTTTATTTTAAGGTGATGTACACTAGTTACACGTTATATATGAACTGACGTATAGTAAGCACTACCCCTAAACCAAGCCCTAACCCTATAGTAACACTATTGTAAATAAGTATATGTAGTTAATTAATATTACTCAGTGCATTGTAATTACACTATAACAACGGCACCTTAAAATAAAGTGTAAGCCAGTGAGCTAATGGATTTTATTTAACAGGAAAGGCAAAGAGGAACTACTAAATTTGACGTACTCTTGGAATTAAAATGACCTGTCTGAGGGTCTGTGACATACACCGTACAATAGTTTCTTTAAAAATGTATTTCCTCTAACATTTGTTGCGTATGTGTGTGACTTGAATGAGCTGATCATGTATTAGTTTTGCATAGATCTGTTGGTTTTATTTAACTGGTGGCATATGACTGATAAAGAAATGCAAACTAGTGTTGTGTTAGTATATCATTTCCCATAACCTATAAAAAACTGCTAATTTATTTTATTTCCTAAAAGGCCACTGCAGAGGGTGTGTCCAACAATCCTGGTTTCCCAAATTCAGGTAAGCAAACTCGATGTGCAAATCTGGATTAAAATGAAGCATTTCGTGTCAGTACTGCAAGCCCTCAAATAACATGGGCAACGGTAATGCGGCAATACAAATAAAATAGGGGTGCTGATGGCGCAGTGGATAAGACACATGCCTTTGGTGTGAGAGACCTGGGTTCGAATCCACTGTGAGACACTTGAGCAAGACACTTAACCCCTAGTTGCTCCAGAGGCGTGCGACCTCTGACATGTATAGCTATTGTAAGTCGCTTTGGATAAAAAAAGTGTTAGCTAAATGAATAAATGTAATGTAAAATATATAATGTGAACATTCTGACTGAGGCTGGCCAGGCTTTGGTGTTGGAGAAGAAACCATGTTAATCATGTCATTTTTGCAGGTTCAGACAGCAGATCACTGAGTGTGTCTGTGAGTGAAATTCTGCAGGACTGCCACAGCGAGCGCAGCAGCCTGAGCCGGACAGAAAGTGACCCCTCAGCAGATCTGGCCTTGCCTGGTGAGCCTCTAAGACACACTCCGTACTCCACAATCCTCATTCACGTTCATTTAGTCGGCCAAAACTCATATTATAGGAATAGTTCCTTTGTGTCTACTTCCATGCCTTGACTTTGAGAAAATGCAAAAGAGCAAAGTTGGAGGAGCAAATTTTTCAGCATGCTTGGCAGAACTAATTCTGTGCTATGTGAACCTTCTCTGTTATTGCTGCTGCTTTGCCCAGCCATTTTTACCAAGTAAAGCATCTCTTAAAATGCATTTTTACAGTATTGCTTACTTGCCTTATACACACTAGAAAATTCTCGTATGAATTACTTAGAGTAGTTCGCTTTAATAAAAACTTTTGCTAATAATTTACTCACCCGCACGTCATCCAAGATGTCCATGTCATTCATTCTTCAGTTGAAAAGAAATTAAGGTTTTTCATGAAAACATTCCAGGATTTTTCTCCATATAATGGACTTCAGTGGGAACCAAACGGTTCAAGGTCAAAAAGACAGTTTCAGAACAAAGGGCTTTAAACGATTCCAGACGATGAATAAGGGTCTTATCAAGTGAAACGATCGCTCATTTAAAAAAATAAATAACAAAGTTTAAGTTTTATAAGCTCAAATGGTCGCCTTGCTCTGTTCTGTAATGCGCGTTCGTGACTCTCCTGTTCGAACTCTTTTTCCGAGTCATTTGGTTCATTCAACGAACGAAACGAACGAATTGACTCGGAAAAAGTTTCGTTCATTTTGTTATTTATTTATTAAGTGAGCGATCATTTCGCTTGATTAGACCCTTATTCGTCGTCTGGAATCGTTTAAAGCCCTTTGTACTGAAACTGTCTTTTCGACCTTGAACCGTTTGATTCCCACTGAAGTGCATTATATGGAGAAAAATGCTGGAATGTTTTCATCAAAAACCTTAATTTCTTTTCAACTGAAGAAAGAAAGAGATGGACATCTTGGATGAAATGGGGGTGAGTATATTATCAGCAAAAGTTTTTTTTTTAAAAGTGAACTTTAAAAGTCCCCCTGTAGTCAATTACTTTATCACTTAAAACTCATCTGCAATCACCAAAATGACATATTTAAATGATTTTTCCTGTCAAAAAGTCTTCATGCCTTAACATAGCTTGAATGAAACTCTACACCCTTGCTTCATTTAATATAAGCAATCTTTTGAATATGCTAATTAGCCCTTCTGATCGGTCATAGTTAATGATATGCTAAAGCCCGCCCGCATGGTGACGTGATTGGTTACAAGGTTGTTTGTGACATCAGAAACACTTTAGCGATTTCAAAACGTGTTTTTGAACTGCAGTTTTAAGGAGATAATACTCAGCAATGGTGTTGGCTTATGAATTTGCACATGGTTTGTCTTAAACACATTAAAAACACTACATAGACATATAAACAACATTTTAAAAACTTGATTTTCTCCACTGGGGGACTTGAAGATGTACACAATAGGGGTGTAAAATACTATTTGATCGTGATTCTTGATGTAAAGTCATGAAATCTGAAATATTATCAGTTCTATTAGGTCATTTTAATTTAAAATAAATTGTTTAAAAAAATTATTCACAAATGTAACTGTTGGGGTAATTAACCCCATCATATTTTAAAAATAGCAGTGTTTGAATTTTCAATAAGAATGAATAATTGTTTATTATTTTAGTATTTGAATTTAATCATAGTCATTTAAACCACATAAAGTTAATAAATGCTTTGAAATTTCCCTTTTTAAGGCATCACTTTTCATACCCCTAGCAATTTTACGTGTAATAAAGAAGAATATCTCTGGTGCTGTGGAAGTCCATTTTCACCACAAAAGGAAAGAAATGCTTAGTAAATCATAATTATAACAAACACTTTTTCAAAATTTCTAAATCATGAAATACTAAGTCTTCATTATGAGATAAGTTCAAATTAAGTTATGAAATAATGGAAATTATTACAGAAGTTGAAAGGCAAATTGACAATTATAACAAAAAAAGATGGCTTGATTGATTTTTGTCAGTATTGACTATTTATGTCATATTTTAAAATTTCTATTTCATAAATCTCACAATTACTTAGTATCTCATAATTTTGACTTTTCATGTCATAATTATGATTTACCAAATTGTTTGACCCCTTTATGTGGGATAAATGGACTTCCGTACTGATGCTGTGTTTGCATGTCTAATGCTGTGCTGTCCCTTAACTCTCTCTTTCTTACTCTGACTCGGCTTTGCTCTTTACTCGCGTAGCGTCTGAGTCATGGTCCACTGCTGTAGAGGAATGTTGACTCTGGTAGGTCATCAATGTCATGAATAATTCACTCTTTTCTTTTTACCAGTCACTTTGTAGTGTTAATTCATAATAGATATTCATAAGTTTGGACACACCTTTCATACGTTACTTCTTCACATTTTAGAATAATAGTAAACTCCATTAAACTATGGATCTGTGTAGACGTGGTTTTGAAAGGGTGTGTTTACACTTGCTGCAATTGTTGGACATCACAGATTGTCCAAAGACAGGATGTGATATCACAAGATGCAGATCTTCTTGCAGGAAATCCTGATCTCTTTATGTTTTCTAAGCTCTTCGTGAGTTCTGAGCTGGTAAAAATGCCATCATATATATGTACGCATATCATTGACACATTTAGCCCAGCACACAGCATTGTCTTGGATGTGCGTTGAGTTCTGTCATAAAAGCAATTTTAATTTTGTTTGTTTATTTGTTTTGTATCTCAAGGTTCGGTTAGGTTTCTACGGAGGCGTATTGCATTCACTTGAAGAAAAAAAATCTACTCTGTTTTTCTGAATTAACGAGTTAATTTTTCATGAGAAAAAAAAATTTGCTCTGTTTTTCTGAATTAATGAGTTAATTTTTCATGAGAAAAAAAATGTTTTGCTCTGTTTTTCTGAATTAACGAGTTAATTTTTCATGAGAAAAAAATGTTTTGCTCTGTTTTTCTGAATTAATGAGTTAATTTTTCATGAGAAAAAATTTTTTTTCTCTGTTTTTCTAAATTTAACGAGTTAATTTTTCATGAGAAAAATTTTTTTGCTCTGTTTTTCTGAATTAATGAGTTAATTTTTAATGGAATTTTTTTTTTGCTCTGTTTTTTTAACTCTGTTTAACTCATTAATTCAGAAAAACAGCAAAAATAAATTTTCTCATGAAAAATTAACTCATTAATTCAGAAAAACAGCAAAAACTTTTTTTCTCAAGAAAAACTAACTCATTAATTCAGAAAAACAGAGCAAATTTTTTTTTTCTCATGAAAAATTAACTCATTAATTCAGAAAAACAGAGCAAAAACTTTTTTTTTCTCATGAAAAATTAACTCATTAATTCAGAAAAACAGAGCAAAAATTTTTTCTCATGAAAAATTAACTCATTAATTCAGAAAAACAGAGCAAAAAAATTTTTTTTCTCATGAAAAATTAACTCATTAATTCAGAAAAACAGAGCAAAAATTTTTTTCTCATGAAAAATTAACTCATTAATTCAGAAAAACAGAGCAAAAACTTTTTTTTTCTCATGAAAAATTAACTCATTAATTCAGAAAAACAGAGCAAAAATTTTTTTCTCATGAAAAATTAACTCATTAATTCAGAAAAACAGAGCAAAAAAATTTTTTTCTCATGAAAAATTAACTCGTTAATTCAGAAAAACAGAGCAAATTTTTTTTTCTCATGAAAAATTAACTCATTAATTCAGAAAAACAGAGCAAATTTTTTTTTTCTCATGAAAAATTAACTCATTAGTTCAGAAAAACAGAGCAAAAACTTTTTTTTCTCATGAAAAATTAACTCATTAATTCAGAAAAACAGAGCAAAATTTTTTTTCTCATGAAAAATTAACTCATTAATTCAGAAAAACAGAGCAAAAAAATTTTTTCTCATGAAAAATTAACTCGTTAATTCAGAAAAACAGAGCAAATTTTTTTTTCTCATGAAAAATTAACTCATTAATTCAGAAAAACAGAGCAAAAAAATTTTTTTCTCATGAAAAATTAACTCGTTAATTCAGAAAAACAGAGCAAATTTTTTTTTCTCATGAAAAATTAACTCATTAATTCAGAAAAACAGAGCAAATTTTTTTTTCTCATGAAAAATTAACTCGTTAATTCAGAAAAACAGAGTAGATTTTTTTCTTCTTCAAGTGAATGCAATACGCCTCCGTAGGTTTCCTTTTTGTTCCGGATTAAGAGAACCCAACTAAAACTGTGAACACACCCTTAAAACTAATTAAAAGTTTTAAAGAACTCATTTGTCAGCCCGATTGGCCTATAAAACTATTTTCAACCATAAGCTCTTTTAAAATCGCAAGGTTTTCATGAGAAAAATAAATGTAATCAAGTGTTTCCAGAAGATTGTCTGCTCATTCTCACTTGTCCTGTCTTCATGCTTCCTCAGGGTCATCAGAGTCCATAGAGAGTCTGAAGAGTCAGAGCACCAGCAGCTCCAGTCAGCCTCTGCTCTGCCTCCCCAGCACCCTCCGCATGGAAGATGAGCATCTCGCTTCATAAACGCTTCATCTACCCGCTGTCTCAACCTCCACCACGCTATTCAATCTGTTCCCAATCCAAGACACTAATTCAGATGATTACTTCTTATCACAATCAAAGTCTTATAGAGTCCAAGACATTTCTCTGTGAAGTAGAAACATTACACATGAGTTTAACGCACTAGCTTCTAGAAAACTTTATAAAGAAAAGACGTTTATAGGACCGTCATAGCATTTGCCTTGAGAGTACAAAACTTTTGAATGGTTCAATTTCCTTTAATGGATGCACAGCTTTCTTGAAGTGCAGCTTCATGGTGTTTTATGACTGTACTTGATACGTTTTCTGTAATCAGCAAATGAACACTAAGTGCATCAGTTACCATCTATGTCTGTATCTTATATATTTGTTTTGTGCCTTACAGTACTGTGTTGGCTGTCCTTTCGTCCTCCCGTCGAAACATACAAAGTGGGAAGCTGTAGCACTTTTTGAAGCTTTAATGAGTAGTTTATAGAGGGATCTGCCATCATTTACAGTGACATATCTGATGCTTTTTAGTGAATTCACTGCTGCTTATCTATGTCAGGCACCTTTAAAAGTTATGTATATTTGTATGTAGTAAAATGTTTTATCATAAAGTGTTGTGCACTAATATGAGTCACTGGTTATTTTAAGGTATAAATTATATTATTTTTTTCATGATCCTGCTGTTCTGGCACAAACCCTATTTTCAATAGCTACATCCAAGGGATATTAAAAAAGAAGCAAAGCTTAATTACCAATTCGATAGATGAACAGCTAAGCTTAGTGTATTGTAGAGACCATATTTGGCCAGATGATGGCAGTGTGCTCACTATTTTAGTAATACGCTCACTATTTAGTCAGACGAAACTGCATTTAGTATAGTGTAGTTTTTCCTGTCACCTGAAGTATTTATACCCAAATAGAGCCCCCAAATTTGTGTAGGCGTGCTGAGAAAACGGTTTTATGACAATGAGGGATGTAAACTCAACTGTGAAGAGAGGGCAGGTCTCAGGCGCGATGAGTGGCGCGCTCCTTTCATTGCGCGTCTGTGCGCCTTTCTGCTACTATTGGCGCGCGCGTATATAATACCTAACCAACGACTTTTTAACGACTTACCCCTGGCATGGAGATTGTTTAGAGGGAAATTGAGTTCGCGATAAAACAAAGAGCTTCAAATAAGAATAAATAGCCTATAAAGGTGAGAATAGTAGATAGAATGCAAAACAGTTATAAATGTACCAGTTCTGAGACTGAGGCTACATTTTATGCGAGAAACATGTATCACTTCACAAGGTTTAAAATCACAATGATTTAATAAATGACTATATTTCCTATAAATGAGCACCTGTCACATTTCGCTCGGATCTGTGGTTGAGTAGGCTACACTCCTCGCGCAGGAACAATGACATATTCAACTCTGGAGGTCTCAGCCAATCAGAGGGCGTCAACATTTAAAGAGCTATTAAGAAACAGGCAAAACGGCGGAGTGCAAAGCCCGCATCTCATTTCTATCGCATCCATTCGCATACGAGACACTACATTTGATTCCACATGGCTTTTTCTAAGACAGGATTGAAATGCTGCTGTTCGCAGTAGATATCAGGAGATGTACGATTTTGTGGATGCGCTCGTTTATCTGCTGCACTTGTTGCTCTAAGTCTCTAACAGACAGAATCTAACGGACTGAGAGATATTCATTCACCGCAACAGACCGACGAGGTCTAACGTTACGTGTTTTCATTTCGCAGGTAGGCATTTCATTTGAGGGATTTAATTTGCCTAACCCTGTGTTGGATTATACCGTTATAAAAAACACACTTTTTGCAGTTAATTGCCGTTATTTTCGAATTTTCAAGCAACGTGTCTGTGCTCCACAGAAACTGTTTTTTTCGAAAACACCACACAAAGTCGCGTTCACTATGCCAGTGTTAATGAGTCCTGAGATGGCGAATAAATTCAAAGAGAGATGGATGATGCTTCATCCGGAGGATCAGGACAATGTAAGCGGCTCCGTTCACTTTGACGACAGTCTCACCAGTCTGCACTGGCTGCAGAACTTCTCCATCCTCAGTGCCAATCTCGAGAGGATTCCCAGCTCCGGCTGCCACCCGCAACACCTCTTCAGCCACAAAAACCAACTGGGGGGCACAGACTCGCCCTCCAGCCCGCCTGCCGGAGATACCGCCGCCACAGGGATGCCACAAACACCTGGGAATCCAACAACGTCCTGCAGCAGTTTGGCGAATTCATACACGCACCAGCAAGCGGGACATTACACAACGGCGCAAACAAATCCTCCGGAGGAGATCGACTATAAAACAAACCGCCACGTGAAGCCACCGTATTCATATGCCACTCTGATTTGCATGGCAATGCAAGCCAGTAACAAAACCAAAATCACCCTGTCAGCCATTTACAGCTGGATCACTGAGAATTTCTGCTACTACAGATACGCGGAGCCAAGTTGGCAGGTAATTTCACAGATCGTTTATTTATCTTTAAGAATCAATTGATGTTTTTTTCTGCATTAACTTTCTATATCTATAGATTTTCACAGGAGCGATAGAAAAATTTATTTTTTGTGTATGTGCAACAGGTGCACCGTACATGAGACGAATCCTCTTACGTTCAGGTTTCTTAAAGGGACAGTTCACCCCAAAATGAAAAGTCGGTCATCATTTACTCACCTTCAAGTTGTTCCAAACCTGTATGAGTTTTTTTTTTTTTTTTTCACCGCTGAACACAAAATAAGATATTTTGAACAATATGGGTGACCAAACAGTTGATGGACCCCACAATTAATGGGGTCCATTAACTTTTTGGTTACTGACCTTCATCAAAATATCCAAATTTTTTGTGTTCAGCAGAGGAAGGAAATCCATACAGGTTTGGAACAACTTGAGACTGAGTAAAGGATGATTGGATTTTCATTTTTTAGATGAATGGAGTGCCATTCTTCGTATTAACATCTTAAATGATCTTATTGTTAAATAAGATTTTCAGATTTTAACAGTAAACAAACCAGAAACTAATTTAATAGCCACTACTCTTTAATGAAATGTTTACTTTTAGGAATCAAACGTAACGGTTCAGTAAGGGAGTCGAATTAATCCACTTCACCGCTCTTAACCAATTTATTCACTTTCAAGATATTTGATTCACTAAAAGGAGCCGACTCATAACAGTCATTAGCGGGGAATCTGTATGTATCTCTGTACGTTTGTGATTCACTAAAAAAGAACCAGCTCATAAGATGAATTCATTTGAAAATCGGAATACATTTCTAATGTTTTTGATTCACTAAAAAGAAACGGCTAAGGGTAATTTGTTAGGGAATCAGAGTACACTTAGCTCTGTATTTGTCTGATTTTCACTAAAAAGAAAGCTCACAAAAGTCATTCTTTTGGTAATCGTCCCACACATGCTGTATGTATCTGTTACACCCAAAAGGACCAATCCATAAGAGTCATTTGTTCGAGAATCAAATTAACAATATGAAGAGTTCGGATGCAAAAGCCTCTAAATGCCATTTGAAATTTTCTTCTTTAATGATGATTTTTGTCAAAGTTGTATATTTAAGTTCAGTAATTTCACTTAAATAACAATTAATAGGTAATTATCATTGCCATTTAAGTGAAATCACTGAACTTAAATATACAAGCTTGATAAAAATGATCATTCTGGAAGAAAATTTCAAATGGCACTTGCATCTGAACTCCTCATATTTAGCTGGTGACTGTCAACCTTAGTCTGTCGATACAGCTCTATTCAAACATTAAACCAAATAGCAAATGGCCAGACCTGATGTGTTAGGGTGACTAATGATGGAAGATGACACCACTGTACCCAAAAGCACTAGGTTTCCCGAGGCCTCGTTCCATAATGAAGGATCCTTAAGGGAGCCGCTGATCATGTGAATCTAGTGCTGAATTACTAGAGAGCCTTATTCACAGCAGTTCTTCTCCTGTATACACAATATTCCCCTCCCCCATGTGTCTCTGTCACACACACACACACACACACAGTGAGCCAATGAAACAGGACACCTCTACCTGTTGCACAATGGGATTTTATAGAAGCCTTTTATTTACGCGTTGTCATCTTCTGCCACAAGAAGTTATTGCATTTATGTTCAACATTCATACAAGCTTAGCATAAAACAAATGTTTTATAGTGCACACATGAAAGAATTACCAAATGATTCTACTAGTGTGTACGTATACGATACAATAGATACGTACACAATATTCTCACAATACTTTAATCAATAAAGTTAAAACTGTAGTTTTTTTTAAATGATTACTTCTAAGACATATGATAAACAGTTAACAAAAAAGCTCAAATTAAATTTGGTATTATATAAGGAATGGACTTGAATAAGTTTGGTGCTTGCTTGCTTGGTCCATTGGTTGCCAGCCATGTCTAACATTTATTTTTAGGTGAACTATACACAATACGTATTGTTGATATCCACGATAGACATCGGTTATGAAAATGAACCCTAGTTTTACTACAAGAAAAAAAATGGTTATTACAGTTAGTTTAACCATGGTAGCCTTTTTTATTGCGATATATATTGTGACATGTCATATTGTTACCCCCTATAAACGAATATTAAAAACCTGATGATTTTTTCCTTTTTTTTTTTTCAGAATTCAATCCGCCATAACTTATCCCTGAACAAGTGCTTCATGAAAGTGCCCAGGCAGAAAGATGAGCCAGGAAAAGGAGGCTTTTGGCAAATCGACCCACAGTACGCTGACATGTTTGTCAATGGCGTTTTCAAACGGCGGCGAATGCCTGCCACAAACTTCAATACCCAGAGACCGAGCAAAATGTTGTCCTCTCCCAGCTCCTCGTACGGCTCTCAGTGCAACCAGACTGGCCAACAAACGGGAATGGGCCACTTCCAAGGACCTGTCGCGGGAAACAAACGCAAGCAAGTCTTCTCCAAACGGGGCGGCAAGCTGGCCAGAGTCTCCAAAAGCCCTCTGTTAACCACCGACATCAAAACTTCAGACATACTGAGAGGAGACTTTGACCTGGCGTCTGTTTTCGACGATGTGCTCAGTGGGAATGACAGCACGTTTGAAGATTTGGACATCAACACGGCGCTGAGCTCTCTGGGGTGCGAGATGGAGCTATCTTCACAGAACCAGCACGGGTCCGTTTACAGCAACGAGGACGAGCAGGCTTGTGCCTATCTGGAGGCGAACGGCATGATGGGATGCAACATGGAGGACTTTCACCAACAGCACCAGCAGCAAGTACAGGTCCATCCGCTATATTATGAGGGAATGTTCACGGATCAGGTTCACCAGCATCAGCAGCACCCTTGGGAGATTAAAGAGGAAGTCCAAGCCATCCCGATTTCCATGGATCAAGGCTATGGGCTTTGTGAGGGATTCTTCTCTGAGATGCAACTCTGGGAAAGAGCCGAGTCATATCTGTGAACTTGATGTCTTTGCTGGTCTGAAGGCCGACTGACTTTTGTTTTGCTACATTAGCATAATGAATTACTGAGGTTATATGTAATTATTTCTTTGTACTTCTTTCATATTTTTAAGAACCTATTCTGATTCTTTTATAATTACCCTTGATCTTTACATTCTTGATATATATATATATATTTTGGATGATTAAATATTTGTGTGGGACAAAGTAATTTAGGATAGTGGCATTTTTGTTCCTGTATTGATTAATCAATTTAATATATTCATTTTAGTTTACTTGATATTTTAGGCAATGTTATGCTTTGATAAATATAACAAATACATATAAATCACATATTTGTGGGAAAGGGATGCAACCAGCCAAAGTGCTTCGCAAAAGAATCATTTCCACAGAGGAAAAAAGGCACAAGCACTTTGAAACATTAGCTGAGTTTGTTGCCCAGTGACAGTGCCTCGTAATTTATTTTCTCTTTTATGATATTCTATAAAGTACAACTTGTCCCACAAGAGCTAAAGTAAAGTTATTAGATTTACAATGAATTGAGGGGGGCAATCTCACGAGGCAGTGACTGTTCTAGAAGTGTACTTGTATCGATTCTTTGAGAAATGGACTAAAACATGCAACGTGAAACAAAATATATTCTGTTCTTGAATAAAAAGATCAATCTGTACAACTTTTTTCAGTCTATTGCTGTTGATTACATGTCACGAGTTATTTATATACAATTAATAATACATGTAGGCTACATTGTTTCTTTAGCACTCATGTTTGCATTTTTTCAAATTAGAATAACTGTTTTATTAAAAATTCCATACAAATAAGTTGGTGATCAACAGTGTACATGTATCCACCTTATTCCTGACGACCTTACTGCGTTTTGAATTATGGGTAGCACTTCCGGTTTGGGGAACTTCCATTCAAAAAGGCTAAAACGAATTATTTCAAATCGGTTGCCCTAATAAAGCTGATCCGTCAGTTTGACTGGATGAACTGTTCATTTTGATTTATTTTCAGACATAATGAGAATAACGAAAGACTTGGTAGGCTTTTTTTTAACGTGACATGTTATAATAAGAATATGGCAAGAGCTTTTTACAGTCGCTTCTTTCTTTTCCTCGTGATGATTTTTATTTGTTCCTTTGCAATCCGCTGTAAAAGTGTGAAAAAAGACACCACACGACATACTTGTGGTCTGTTCTCCCGAATTTAATTTACGATATTCCATTAATAATTCACTGGAATGCACAAAGAATCTGTCGTTATTCTCCTCAAATCATCATTTCCCTTTCCAGGTTTGTTTTCACAGTAAATGCAATATAATCTGTCAAAATTATAAATTACGGAAATCACTTTGATATAGTCACGTAATGCTGCAGTTAATGAACCTTTTTGATTAATATATTTGCCTACTACAGTCATATTTATCCAAAGACTCGCGCTTATGGGGCTATTTGTGGTCTGTTGTAGGCCTACCTGTAGGCTATATAAGGTATACCTGTTGATTCTTTTAAACTTGAACATTTCATTTTAATGTTCGATGGTTGAAGGGTGGGTCGTCATCTCATGATGAATGTCATCTCATTCATTTTTAACGTATTGCGTACTTCGTAGAGCGAGCCTTTCAATGATTGTTTACAGCTTAAAGGAAGTTACACCCATAATTCGCGCAAAGCGTCATGGGGCGTAGAAATAAGGTGGATAGCCATTTATGAAAACAATAAGCATTGTCTATGTTCAAACTTAGTTCCAGACATTGATAATTCTACCTTAGTATTAGTTTATAATTGATTTCTCAGAATAATTTGATAAATATAACTGTTTTTATTGACATTTAATACTTCACTGACTACAGTGTTTGCGTTCTAATTTAGCCAATCCATTTAAAGATTTCCTAATGATTTCCCATTGACTTCACTCGCTGGATATTCTTGCCAGACTGTATTTTGATTCTGTTTTTTTATTAATATTTTCCTTTCACACCACATACACTCAAACAGGCATCAATCTTATCCATGACCCTTTTCACGTGGCTATTTGTGATTTATTGTCAGAGTGGTTTGATTATTGACAGGAAAATACAGTAATAACATGCCCAGACTGGCCTGCATTTCTCTTAAACAAATAACTGTAATACTGTTAAGCTTCACAACAGATGTTTGCCTAATAATTTACCTTTAGGCTACTATACATCAGCATGAGGTGTGAAAGAACGTCAAGCATTGAACAACATCTGAATTGACAATCAATGGCATATTTACCATACATGTATTGACCAAAGTTGACAATGTGTATAGTTTATAGTAGAGATTATAGTTTGGATTTGTATTGTCCTTTGTTTAGTTTGTTTAGCTGCAGATTGAGCAGTCAGAGAAGGATGAGAACTTCTACTCTCAAAGTTATGAACAAACATTCTTCTAAACATTAATAGACAAGTTATCTGGTCTTTGACTATATTCTCAAAACATTAGCACAAAAACCATTATTTATTCATTATTCACGGGAGTTTTTTTTTCTGACACAATTATTATACTATAAAATTATAAAATTATACTATGTTTCAGATTGTTCAAAAACATTCAGAAGTAAGGTTCATATAATGTTTGCAAAATTATCCTTAATGTTTCATTAACATTTTTAAACATTTTTGAACATATTTTGTTAGCTGAGATTTAATCTGTTGTGTTTTACTTTCTTTCCAGTTCATTTCCTTGCTGTGCCTCCCACCTTGAAAAATCCAGCTGACTGGAATATCTGTGAAAATCCACTGCATTTGAGAAATAATAATAATACTTTCACATTTAAAATCTCTTTTTAATGAAAAAGAAAAAAGAAAAGGGAGGATTAGTCAATTTCATCGGCTCTGCCTCCTTCTGTTGGAGGTCATATTCAGAGACCCTTCCGAATCAGTGGAGTAAATCACATTCCTTGAACATCAAGGAAAAGCCGGGATGGTAATCCCAAAGAGCTGTGCCCCACAATGCCAAGGACACATATTCATACAGACTCCCGTACATCAAGCGACCAGAAAGCCACGAGTTGTCCCTGTGTCCCTGTGGATGAGACAGAGGTGAGAGTTAGTGTCGTGGTTGCGATGTAGGCAGGGTGAGAGGGGAGGTGTGGGGGCGAGGAGCTGTGTGCTTCTCAGGGAATGGGTTTTTGTGGAGAACCCCTTGACGCTGGAGATAACACTATCTCCCCAGAGGCAGAGACTCCTGCTCGTATTTACACGGGTGCTGTCGCCGCTCTGGCCCCTCATGCGGACCTGTCAGCGGGAACAAGGATGGCTGTCACGGCGGGGCATTGCCACGCTGCTTTATGTCCCCCCGGGGACTGCTGGCAGACCCTGATTACAGGTGTTGTGTGGGCATGTCAGTCAGATCACACAGAGAGATGTGTCAGCCATTCTGCTGGAAAAGTCAGCAAAACACTAGCATCAGCACTCAATCAATGGGTGTGTTTTTCACTCTGAAACCTACTAGAAAATCGGCTAATACTTTACTTGAAGGGGTGTGCATAAGACTAACATGACCTTCATAATCATGACATGACATATGGAAGTTTTATGCATGTTTGTCACAACTGTCATTAAGTGCTATATGACATTTTTAATGCAAATATGACATTGTTTGAGATGTCTTTATGACACTTTGACATAAACCAATAGATCATAACCTGTCAGTGTCTTTGTCATGACAACTTGACATTACTAAGTCAACACAACCTGTCATAAACATGACATAGCAGATTAATTATTGATAATGATTGGTTGGTTTTGACATTGGCTGTCATGAAGCCATTATAACTTTTTAATGACAAATTCAATTAGTACCACTGTAGTTGAGAATCACGAAAAATATTCATGACACAGTTATAATGGCCTCATGACGGCCAATGTCAACGCCAACCACACAACAGTTTAACTTAATTTTATGTCAAGTTGTCATGACAAAGACACTGACAGGTTATGATGTATTGGTTTATGTCAAGTTGTCATAACAAAGACATCTTAAACAATGTCATATTTGCATTCAAAATGTCATTATTGAGCGAAAGTCACTTAATGACAGTTGTCATAAACCCTACTTTATATTCAAGACAAATGTCACGTCATGGTTATGAAGGTGTCATGTCAGTCTTATGCACATTTTTGGTTTGATTGTTTGTTTTATCTATTGATTTATTTTTTAAAAATCATTCAATTTAAATGACTAAAGTAGGCCTACAACTCTTCTGGTTTTCATTTTCCCAATAAAATTCTATTTCATTTTTTGGTGGTCCAAAAGAGTGATACAACTGTCCTGAAAACACCATGACAGAAACAAAAGCCTTAGTTCACCCAAAAAATGAAAATTTCGTTTACCTATACATTTCTTTGTTCCGGTGAGCACAAAAGAAGATATTCTGAAGAAAGTTTGTAACCAGGCAAATCATTGACTTCCATGGTAGGAATCAAAATGCTATGGAAGTCAATAGTGCCCTAGAAAAGCTCAGTTTCACACTTATCTAAACATGACACCTTCATGACACACCACAGGTTTGGAACAACATGAGGGCGAGTAAATTATAACAGAATTTTTTGGGTGACCGATCCCTTTAAAGGGGCTTTGTAGATGTTATTAGCGACACCGGTGGCCATTTGGTGAACTGCTGACAGCAACTTATTGCTTGTGCACACGTAATAGACTGAACGCTTTTAAATATCGCACGATACTTGTAGTGAAATTCTTTTTATCTTCAGAACACAAATTAAGATATTTTTGATGAAATCTGAGAGATTTATGAGCTCCCCCCTCCCTATTACCACTTTCAAGGCCCAGAAAGGTAGTAAAGACATCGTTAAAATAGTCCATGTGACTAAAGTTGTTCAAGCTTGATTTTTCAAAGCGAAGAGAATAATACGCACAAAACAACCCCCAAAATAACAACTTTATTCAACAATCTCTTCTTTTCTGTCAGTCTCTGATGCTGTTCATGTGAGCACCACAACGTGTGTGTGAATAATGCGCTTCACTGAGTTTACAATGTGAAAAGCATTGGAGACTTGCACGAAATTGAAGACATTTTAGAATAAAGTCACTACTTTTGTTTTTTCTTTCAGAAAGTGTTCGGATTTCATCAAAATTATCATTTGTGTTACAAAAATGACTGATGGACTGATGGGTTTGGAACGACATGATGGTAAGTAAGTAAGGTAAGTAAGGATGGTAAGGTGAGTAATTAATGATAGAATATTTGGGTGAACTAACCCTTTAAATATCTTTTGATTTTCCCAGCAAAAACCTCCCAAGTCCTTCACATAAAAATCAGTCTACAGCAGAGATGCCGAATCCTGTTACTGCATGGGGACCTTCCTGAAAAGTTCCGCTCTAACCCTGACAAAACAACTGAACCAGCTAATAAGATCTTCAGGAAAACTTGCCAATTACAACTTGCCAGATCAGCGTTGGAACTCTGCAGGTAGATCTCCACGGACAGGATCTGGCACAGGCTTTAATAGACAACCTAGAAAGTTTCGTTATAAGCTTTTCACATATTGGCGATAAAAAAGCGAATATTGCATGCAATACAATTCTTACATATAGCCCCTTTAAAAGAATGAAATTCTTGAAAAGCAAGCTTTTGCAAGATTAAGTGGTCATAATCTTAGAAAAAAAACCCCAGCTAATTAATATTTGGA